AATATGCATTTTGGTTCCTCCTCTTTGCTTTTAGCACAGCCATGGGGTCCTGCAGACATTTGCTCCCGGTACTGCTGGCTTCTCACTTCCATTTTTATTAAAAAACTAACAAGGAGCATTAAGCAGCTCCCTGTTTAATTTCCCATAGAAAAGCAATAGTTTCAAGCAGCCCACTGGTGGAGGGATATTTAAATGCAAAATGCACAGCTGTGCCAAATGTATGCGCTAGAGCAAAAAGGGTTTTTTAATATGACAGGTTAATACCATGGATTTTTATTTCATTTGCCACTGAAACAGCTAATCAGAGAGAATTGGACCAGTGGAAGCAGAGGTGAAATTGGGTAGTTGTTAAGAGACAAAAGATATTGCTTGTCAACCTTCTATGGTTTTAATATTATGCTACTAGAGTGCTGCAGAATTGACCAAAAGTTACCCCACTGAGGAGATTTGCCCTGACCTACCCTCACTTATCAGAGATTCTAGAAGCTTCTTACACAGAGACACTAAGTGAACCTTGTTTTCATCCAGCCACCTGCTCGGTCCCTGCCTCTTTCCTACCCACTGGAAAAAAATATATATTAAAGCAAAGGCTAGAAAAGATCACACAGAGGAAATCGTTAAGGCTTCATATCAGTCTGAACACTTGGCTTCCCTTTGGCTCTGGGTAAATAGACACATAGTAATGTGAATGATTGTAGAACACAGAATGCCCTGGGCACAGATTCCATGAAATCTCTGTATAACTCAGGCAACCATGTTAGATGACCAGCTTAGCCCAGCCCAGCTTTATAGGAGAACAATCGTTTAATTACATTTTTAACAGATGTCACTCTTAAGCCGATCCTGCTTCCTTAGGCCAGGTTTCCACAATGACCCTTCCTTTTCTTTAGTTCATAACATACACATGATAGTGAAAAACCATGTAATGAATAATAATGTTCTCTGATAGGAAATTTGGCAAAACTTCTCAATGGCATTTAAGAGTTAGGTCTGTTTTGGGGCACCTGGGTGACTCAGTCAGTTAAGCGTCCCACTTCAGCTCAGGTCACAATCTCGCGGTTTGTGGGTTTGAGCCCTGAGTCGGGCTCTGTGCTGACAGCTCAGAGCCTGGAGCCTGCTTTGGATTCTGTGTCTCCCTTTCTTTCTGCCTGTCCCCTTCTCACACTGTCTCTCTCTGTCCCAAAAATAAACAAACATTAAAAAAAAAAATAGGTCTGTTTTTCCTCTTAAAGTTCAAGGCTTTGTCAAAAGATAGGTCAAAAAATAACTTTCAATGTCAAAATGAATATTGACAAATATGCTCTGAATTGTCTCTCTTAGAATTTTTCCTTTTGAAATGAATGTTTCTTGGCCCCAGGGCACTTTCTCTAACATCACTATTCAAGTTCTAGCATTCAGCTTCTCAAGTCCAGACCCACTGGCCACCTAGATTCCATTAGAATACATCTATAAAGTTTTGACAAATATGTTCTGGTTTCAAATAGTAGAAAGGTCAAGTGATTAAGGTGTGAAAGAGGCCACAATCCACATACCTGAAAGGAACAAGGTGTTATAAGGTCCTAAGCAGTAGATAGATTGCCGCAGAGTAAAGGAAGGAAATGTTTTCCATTAATTTGTTTACTGATAGCTCAGGGAACAGTTCCTTTGCTTTCAAATTAAATCATTTCTGCTCTGCTACCCAAGACAAGCATCATGCAGTAACCATCTGAGGATTTGAGTGATCTTTCAACAATAAATTGAAAACAGCCATTTACAAATGACTGCTTTCATATAGGTCCTTCTTCTGTTATCTAAGGCAAAAAGAGAAGGGGGGTGGGGAGAGGGAGAGAGAAAGAAAGGGAAAAGGAAAATGTATGTGTAGAAATTAATTATTAAAGGATTGAACTGAGGGGAAAGACTATTATATTTCCAGAGGAGGATAGATCACCTGTACTTTTATTAAGTAGGCACCTGTTGTATGGATAAGTCTGAAATGATGTTTCCATTTATTCTGGTTAAATGGTGGTATGCATGTATGATGTAGCATCTGAACACTGAGGCCAGAATACACATGGATAACAATATTTGCTGCCATTTGTTAAGTGTCCGTTACATGTCAGGTGTCACATTAAGTGCTTTGTAAAAAAAGAAACTCAAAACCTTGTTAGATCAACAATGAGAATAGCTGGAGAATGATATTTGGGTGTTAGGCCATATAGCGAAAATCTGATTACCATAAAGCATAATTCTTGCTACTTCCACTCTCTTCTTTCTTCGTCCTTGCTATTGTCCCATTGGTACCAACTCTCCTTCCATCCCCTCAATCCTAACAGCACACAATCTGCACACTGATGCAATAGCCTTTGGTCTAAGTCAGCACAATTGGGTCCCCCCCAGCTTTATTGGGGTATAACTGACAAATAGAATTGAAAATTTATCTTCATTTCTGAGTATAAAAAGAAAAGTTTACAAATAAACAAACTCCCATGTCTCCTTTCATCTTCTGCTTGCTTCTTCCTCTTTTTTTGTCAATAAATGTAAACAGGCCAATGGTGCCAATTCATATGCCTAAAGTACTCATGTTTTTCTGCTGGTGACCTATTTCAACGAACACTTCAAAAGCTAACCTTGTGCCTTTAATTTATATAATAACTCTAGGAAATAAGTCCTATTCTGATCCCCTTGAGTTAAAAATGGCTCCAGCAGCAGAGAGGTCTGTCTGGCCTATCTCAAAGTTCCTCTCTAGGTCTAAAATAGACTATGAGAATAGCTTTATTCCCTCGAGCACAGTAAAAGGGTATTCACAATTAAGCCCTACAATTTATTTACTTATAATTATGTTTGTCTCTGCAGATTGCCTTTTCCTTGGCTTTTCAATGCCTGAGTCTAAAGGCATTATGTGCTTTTTATAGGCCAAATATCTTCTAAAACTTTTTAAAAGTGGGTTTAGTTTTTCCACTAACAAGAACTTATTCACTCAGAGAAAATCAGTAAGACAGAAGTAACCGAACTAGTAGAGTTCTAGGTGATAATGTTAATGAAGTTCTAATTTGGCAAAGTCAAAATGGGGAGTTTCTGTCACTTTATAGTCTGTATTTTTGATATTTTATTTATTCAATTTTACCCCTTTATACAAAATCCCTACAGGGAGAAGGTAATACCTAAGAAGTAAGAGTTGGCATTTAGAAGAATCTAAAGTGATTCATTTATTCTTTAAGAAAAAAAATCATTGTAATCTGAAATTGGTTGGAATTGATACCAATAATGACAAAGGGAGCATACTGTTTATATTTTGTCTTAACAGAGGAGACAAAAATGAAACTTTGAAAGCTAAACAGAGGCAAAACCTTTATTACCTTTTTGTTCATTGATGAGGGAGCATAAGGCAGGCTAAGGTCAAAGTACAGGCTAGCACACCCAGCCCCATCCCCCACGTGGGATAAGCGTGATATTCCTCAGGCACTGCTGGCTGCCCAAGAATGAAGGAAAGGAGACAAATGGTTAAGTGGTACAGATCACAGTCATGCAGGACATGAGTCTCCATCAGAGTACAAATGTCTTAGTAAATTATAAGAAAAAAGCAATTCTTATCAATAGCCTAGTCTCTAGAAATCTATAGGTTCAGTTTCCTAGAACCCCAACATCACCCCTCCATAGTGATATGGGGAACAAAGGCAAGAAGGAAATGGCAGATAACATTAAATTTCCTTAAAACCTGCAGCCCATTGACAAATACTTGAGGCTGACAGAGTAGAACATTTCTCCAGGAACTCCCTACTGTTTTAATGTTAATGTTTTGCTAGTGGGAAAAACAACCTTAGCTTGACAATAGCTAGGCCTGGAGCATCTTGTGAATCTTCTTTGGCAACTTCCTGTTTGCCTTTATGTCCCCAACTACATGGTATATAACCAGTCACTGCAGCTCTTTATGCCCATGGGTCCTGTCTATGTGCTTTAATAAAATCATCTTTTTGCACCAAAGATGTCTTCAAGAATTCTTTCTTGGCTGTCAGCTCCAAACCCCGTGAACCATCACCCCAAAACTTCATCACTGTCCTTTTGATAAATTCACAAAATCATAACCTAAATTCTACTTCAAAAGAGCAGTTTGATTTTAGGTGTACCCATGTTTCATTTTGTCCACCTGACTCTTCTTCTACTCCTATTCCTCATTTTCTCCTTCCCCCTCTTTCTGTTGCCCTTCTTTTTATTTCCTTCCAAAGTTCACAGTTTGTCAATAAGGATGTACACGTGGATGTTTGTGTATAAGTTAAAGAATATGCCTCTTCAGACATCAGCCTTTGGGAATTTCAGGATTCAGGAGCAGGTCAGAAGCTGGAATTAGTTGAAAAAGACAAAAGAGACTTTATGGCCAGTAAACAACACTTGATCACCCTGGAATGTACAATTCTGCCAAGCATCAAAGTGTGATAGAGGCCCTCCCTAAGGAATGAGGTGGAGGCCTTCTCAGAACAAAGGAAGGCAACATGCAACATGGCCCAATCAACTCCTATACATGTATGCATAGCTCTGAAACAACTCTGTAACTTGGGCTATGTCCAGTCAGACTATATGTGTCACCATATATGGAGACAAAGAAATAGAAATTGCATAAAAGTCTACACCCCACTGCACTCAGGCTCAACCTTTATGGGGTCTTAGCCTGCTAAGCCTATGCTGGCACAATAAAGCTGCTTCCTGGAAAGAAGAGCCTCAGTGTCCCATATGTCTGTGTGAGAATCCTGCTACAAAAGAACCTATGCTAAACTTGAGGGACAGCTGTTGTTCAGTTCACTATGCCAAAGAATCAAAGTGTGTAGTTTTGCTGATAAAACTTTTGAAAGGTCAGTCTTCTCAACCAAGTGCTATTGAGGGAAAACAGAGCAGAGAGCAAGAAGACAATAGGGTCTGAGTCATACCGTGGATTCATTCCCTTTACATCAGAAAGTGTTCACCTCAAGAACCTAGGAAAGCAGTTAAACCAGCCATCTGAAAGAGACATTGTGGACGACCACCACCTATATCAACCTCTTGGTGTTTGTTTTTATTTATGTTTTTATCTTGTTGCTCTTGCCTTCTCTCTTTTAGCAATGTAAGAATTCCATGGATAATTTCTTCATTTCGAATTTTAACATTTTCTCTTTTTTTTCTATAATGAAAGTGCTGTTCATTTCTCATAAAAATGTAGAGAACACCTATAAAAAACAAAAAAAAAACAGATTCAAGGTGGGAAATAAAGGCAGAAGGAAATGGCAGAAAACACGTTGAGAAATAACTTGAGGCTGGCAGACTAAAACATTTCTCCAGGAACTCCCTACTGTCTTAATGTTAATGCTTTGCTAGAGGGAAAAACAACCTTAGCTTGACAATAGCTAGGCCTTTAGTATCCTGTGAATCTTCTTTAGCATATGAAAATCCCTATGGAAACTTGCCCTTAACTTTACCTCCCCCAACTCCCAAGTATATAACCAGTCTCTCCTCATGGTCCCAGGGCAGCTCTTTCTGCCACAGGTCCTGTCCCCATACTTTAATAAAATCACCTTTTTGCACCAAACATGTCTCAAGAGTTCTTTCTTGGCCATTGGCTCTGGATGCCCACCACTCCAAAACCTCATCACTATCAAAAGCCACTTTTAAGAAGTGGCCACTTTAAAATGACAGCCACTTTTAAAAAATATTGATGTTTTGACTTGACCCTTGGTATGACCTGAATATTTCTTTCCCAAAACATTGAGTTCCTTAAGTATTAGTTGGCTTCATCTCAGGTAGAAACTTCATCTTATATACATTTCAAAAAATGGAGGGAGAGGCACAGGTCAGGAATTCCTATAACTTCTCTCTAACTTTCTATAACTTACCTATAAACTTTATCAACACCAAATAATACAGGAATAACTAAAGAGAAGCTACAACTAGAAGCAACGAAGGTTTACAGGCTTATTTAGCAGTGAAGAATAAGAGAACTAAAAACAAGGAAGACATATCGATTCAGAAGGGACGTGGTTAGCCATCCAAATTTCCATGTTGCATACAGCTATGCTTAGCCTAATCACACCGAAGCAGAAGCTAGTAGTAAATTTCCCCTCAAAAGCATAAGTCTTTATAGCTCTGGAGACATAAAATATCTCTATAGCATATAGAGTCATTGTCTACTGAGTATGTGTGCATCCACTTCTGTCCTAGCAAACAAAACAACAATAAGGAAATAGTGGTTCGTCCTAGGTTTGTGGGAGATTGGCAGGGAAGAGGTCATAGGTAAGATGGTGTGACAGCTGCATTAGAGTAATATCTCCAATATTCCATGATCATATTCATAAAATGTGTTCATGTAAGCTTTCAAATACCTACTCATTTATATTTAGTGTAGTCTGTCTTAAAGATGTCTAGCTCATTTTCCACATTCATAACATCTCTGCTTAAATGTTATCTCCTCAGAGAATTATTTCCTGAATTTTATATATTCAGTAGCCCACCACCACATACTTGTTTACTGTCATGTCACTTGATCTTAATTTCTTCATAGCATTTATCATCTGAAATTATCTTATTTGGTAAATTGTTTATTTGTTTATCTCTCATCTTTCTTCAATAGAATGGAAACCTAATGTAATCAAGGTGGTTGTCTATGTTCTTGATCATTTTATTACTAAATACAGAGCTGAAAATATTACCTAGAACACAGCAGGTATTTGATAAATATTTATGATAGAAATTTAAGTAAAACAAAAAAAAAACAAAACAAACAAATCGAATGCATGTAAGATCCATAGCTTCAGTGATTATTTTGTCTTCTTTTTCTTTTTCATTGTTCTGAAAGCCATTTGTTAAAATTCCCCACTGTTACTGTGGATTTTTCTTTTAGCTCTATACATTTTTTCTAATTAACAATTAAAGACATTTTATTATATGCATACAAATTAAGAATTAGGGAGTGGAGAAAGGTGTCAGAGACTAAACAGGCAACAAGTATTCACAAAACATTTCACCTTAAACCAGTTTACCATTTCCAAGTTCTCTTTCATGTTTCTGTCACCTTTCCTACACTATTGTGTCTTCCTTCTTACACTATATGCAGAGAGTCAGGGCTAAAAATTACTCAAAGAGCACTTGTTTCAGACTTTCATAGCACTCATATATAGCTGGGAGATCAAAACAAAGACATCATACACCGTTCAGCATGAAAAAAAAAGCATGAAAAAGTCTTTTTTTGGTTTCCTTCTTTTTTTCACACAAAAAATAATAATATTTTATTATGCATTCTGCATCTTTTAAATGAGCATTGTACTCTGAGGACAAAAGCAATGTGTTTTATTTTAACTAGCACATGACATAAAATTTCCAGTTGAGTCATGGAAAGAGTGAAAAAAAAAAAAAAGAGAAAAATGAGCCAGACAGTGAGACAGTGCTGAATGCACAGATAATAAGGAAATGGTTTCCTTGGCAACAACAGCACTTCGGAAGGTTTCAGACAAGAGTACAACTGGGTACAAAGTATCTGATAAAAATATATTGCAAGAGAAGGAAATTGTGCAAATTTAACAGTACCAGAATATGCACTGTAAATCTGAATGTGATTGCTGAAAATTTAGATAGATAGATAGATGATAGATAGATAGATAGATAGATAGATAGATAGATAGATAGAGATAGAGATATAATTTTTCTAATTGATTTTATTTTCTCTTTTTTTGGTGTGAAGTATCATTTGGGATGAAGTAGCATTTGGGAGGCCCCATTAATATAACAAAGAAATTTTAAAGTAATCAAAGGATATTTATGCTTGGAAGAATCAAAATCCATTGACAAAAACATCAAAGTATATCTCCAAAAAAGAAAAAAAAAATCAGACACCTGTTGTGGGACTCCTAATATCTCCTTTAAACTCCATTTCTTCAGAGAAGGATAATAGTCTTAATTTTCAACCATCAAGAATAAGAACTATTTTGGGTCATTTTCCAGTTCTGTACACTTAAAAATAATTTATGCTTAGCATTTAGTTTTCAAAGCTAAATTGGGAGTACAGGTCATCATGATATTAATCTATTGTATAAACTTTGGATAAACAGAGTCAACTGGTCATTCTGATGGGTATATTCTATTACATATAATAATAACAACTTAGTATTTCATCTTCTTAGGCACTGTCCTGCATCTTGCATCCTTCAGGGATATAAAGAATAAAGGCTATTGGATCTCTAAAATTGCCAATTCTCAGGGATGCCTGGGTGGCTCAGTTGGTTAAGCGTCTGACTTCTGCTCAGGTACATGATCTCACAGTTCATGAGTTTAAGCCCCGTGTCAGGCTCTGTGCTGACAGCTCAGAGCCTGAAGCCTGCTTCAGTTTGTGTCAGCCTCTCTCTCTGCTCTCACCTGCTCACACTCTGTCTCTCTCTCTCCCTCTCAAAAGTAAAAACATTGAAACAATAATAAATTAATTAATAAAATAAAATATTGCCAATTCTGGGGGGAAAAATTCAAATGTCTTAAGCTAAAATGTGTCAACATTGTAAAAATCCTATTTAATATGCTTACTTGTGCACAAAATAATGTTTTTTATTATAACATAATTTTATAAAGATGATTCTGTATTCTAAGATGTATTTGATTGGCATCAATATGTAAGGAAGCTGCACTATTCAATTCTCCTGACTAACTTATATACTAGAGATAATCATAGAAAGTAGTGAATGAGCTTTAGTTCATTTGTATCTGTGATTACCACTTAAGTTTTTTGAGAACTCAGCATGCCTAAGATGCTAACTCCTAAGGTAGTAAGAAAAGTGGTATTTCTACAAGGAAATTGAAAATAAAGGAACTATTTTAGCTTTTTAATATTCCAGGTACACTTGGAGACTTGCTGAAAAAATGTAGAAAGGCAGAAAGCAATTCTATTTATTAATTTTGTCCTTAATTACAGCTAATATTAAGAAATTTAAATAAAAGAAATATATGCCTATGCTTAATTTTTAATTTTAGTTCTCTAGAAAAATATTCCTGGTCAAAATTTTAGCAAAGGGTCTGTTTTTGACTAATGTAAATGATTCATTTATCTGTAACAATGATGGTCAATTTCTAATAAGTAGAAAGCAGGAAATAAAATTGAAATGTTCTATACAACAGTATATGGATACCCACATTTTTTTTCATTCACTTCTATTTCTGGTAAATTGTATTTAAAATATCATTGTTAAAAGGAGTTTCTAATTCTACCTCTTTTGTAATATATATTGGCAGAGAAAATGTCCTTGCCTTTAGTTCTGAACTTTTAAGATTAATTTTTTAGTTTATTTAAATTCTCATGTCAAAGGACTATTATTTTGAGACTGAAAAGTCCTGTACTTGGGTAGAATACAAACTTTTCTTTTCCATTTTATGAGATTGGTACAGTGCACAAATCATTATTACCCATGCTAATTGACTTACCATTGACAATTTGATGATTTTTATGGAGATAATTTCTAATGTGCACATTTCTAGTAATTTTCAGCATGTTATCAATTTCATTTTATTGGAGATTTGTTAAAAAAAAGCTTTATAGAGAGCCTACTGTAGCCTTAATATTTGAATGGATACTAAGAATCTGAAAATGAAGACTAGAGCAAGGACTTTGCTCTAAAATAAATTACACACTCCCTAGGGGGAAAGATATGACTGTCAAATTACTTTCACATACTCTATTTGGCCACATCTCTGGGCCTAGATACAAGTTAATAGTGTATCTAGTCATCAAGTTCTATCTGAAATGCCACTAACTCTATACCTGCACTGATTTCACCCTGCTAGATACAGACTCTTGCACTGTAGTTTCTTCCCCCATAGGATTATTCGTGAATTGAATACCATCAGCTCTAAGTTGTACATTGTTTTCACAGTTATCATAAGATCAGGAAAGGATTCCCATCATGGAGATACACTAAAGTATATATAGGCAGGAGTGAAGCCGGAAGGGTCATCAAAAAGCATTTAAGAATGAAGAATCTTGCAGAGTGGATGGGAGGGGCCTATACCAAGTGGGGATTATAGGATGACTAACATTAGCCATGATTTGAAGGATGGGTAAGTGAGACAGAGAAGTAAAGTCATATGCTGATGAAACCTGTGTGAAGATGGTGACTGCGATGGCACAAGAGAAGTGATGGAATTAAAAATAAATGAAAACTTAGAGAACTGTCTGGCCTTGATGAAAGAGTGGATGTTAAGGGAGAAAGACAAATCTAGAGCCAGGATAGAATCAGGAAATAAGAATGCAGTGCAAACCAGTGAGAGATGTTCTGGGTTCAAGTTTTAATCATCCTACTAATTGGTGGATTTTTAGTAATTATTTTTTAACATTTCTTAGCCTCAGTGTTTTACTTGCAAAAGATAAAAAATAATACTTCATCCAGTAGTTACCAAGACTAAACAAAGTGATACAATATAAATTCCTTAATCTGGTGTCTGGCAGGTAGGGAGAATTGAATAGCTATTACTATATACTTTAATATTAATCTGTTATTACATTAATAATAATAACATATTAACTTATAATTTAATCAAATTGATAAAATTATTATTCTGATTTGAACCTAGGTAACCCCAGCCAAAGATGACAAGTAAAGTGGCATCTAAATGAAAACTGCTTGCAGGAAAGAAAATATTCTAAATATTTTTATTTAAATAATTATTGAGGATTGTGGAAACTAGGCCAAGGAGTTAGAACAAGGAATGAGAAGAGAGACCTTTCTGTAAATCTTTTTGAGTTGAGCTGAAAGTGGTACCTCATCTACTCCTATGATGTCCTGGGAAGCACAGACTAAAACTAAATAAAATGTTGTAAGCCAAACTGGTCTCTGCCTTTAGTTTGCTACCCCAAATCCAGGTGGTTTCTGCTGAGACTAGTAACCAGCAATGTTATATAATTTGGAAATAGGGTGTATAATCCTAAAAACCAAGGGAATTTCAGAATGTTATCAATAAAACATGAGATAAAAATTATAAGAAACATCCACTACATTGAAAGCCCCATGAGGGCAGAGATTATATCTTGTTCTATTTATAGCTGCACACCCAGTGAGTCTTGTTCTGAACAAGGATATTTTGAGTGAATGAAATATTAAGAGCTAATGCAAATTTTTAAAAAATGTTTATTTATTTATTTTGAGGGACAGAGAGAGAAAGCAGGGGAGGGGCAAAGAGAGAGAGAGAGAGATGGAGAATCCCCAGCAGGACCCACACTGTCAGTGCAGAGACTGACTCAGGGCTCAATCTCAAAAACCAAACCATATGACATTATGACTTGAGCTGAAATCAAGAGTTCAAGGCTTCACTGACTGAGCCACCCAGGTGCCCGGAGTTAATACGTATATGACTACCATTTATTATGAGCTGTCTCACGACTGCCCATTTTGTGAGAGGTGGCATCAAGAGGTGACTCTACATCTGTTTGATTTCAACATGTATTTTGTCTTTCCACATATGTGTCCGTAACTGAGTTCAATGTTTGGTGACATGCTAGTGCTTTTAGTGATGCACACCGGAGACAATGTGATTGATTAATAAGATTAGTTTTCAGGTTTTTTCACTACTAAAGTGTGTTCTTTGCTTTTCAGAAGTAACATTAAAATTTTAAAATAAAAATTAAATTTTCTACAGACCTTATATAGATGTGCTAATATCATGGGTATCAAGATATAATTTGAAATATGAACCCTCTAACTGAAGGAATTTTACCCTGATTTAACTATACTTTTTCCTGAGCTCTTATTTTTATGTAATTAATTTAAAATATCTTTAGGAGATAGCTGGTGCTTTTTGACCTACATTAAATTCAGAGGTACTTTCTGTTAGTTTTCCAGGTAAATAAAACTGTCTGTCTAAAATTCAGTTCTAATGAAACACTCTACTCAAGGGCTTTGTGAAAGTAACTCCATTTATAACATGTCCTTCTGGAAATTGAAAGCAACTTCTGAATGACACAAAGCTTCAAAAATATTGTTAAGTGCTTCTTTGTCATTGTTAAATAAATATTGGTAGGCATCAGAATTTTCCAAGGAACATTTAGAATTACTATATATATAAGTATTAGGAATTCAATCCTAACTACGCATTGGATTTAAGGGTGTCTCAAAGTTAATATAGGTAAAATAACTTATTTTATCTTTTATATCTTTGTTTTTTGAAACCAGCATATAAAAGTGGATTAATGTTAATTTTTGGAAGCAACAGAAATGTATGTTTTGGCTTCTCAGTAGGTTCTACAATTTCTTCTAAGTTTATGCTGAAAATAGGCCACATATTTTAAATGCATCAATATATAAATCTCACTTTTTCTAAGGCAATAGTAGACCTTTTTATTTAGAGTCTTCGATATTAGTTTAATGACCCTTTATTTTCCATAAGCTCACTTTCAGGATCATTTTATACAGTAAAAGCCAAAATAGACATGACATGAAACCACATTTTATACTTTGGATATTCACTAACTGTTCAGGGTTTTATTTTGTTTTCTTTTGCTTGTTTTTAAATTTTTCCTCAGTAACTCTATTCTTTAAATTATAGTAACGCACAGGGACAACTGAAATTGGAGAGCACAATTCTTTTCCTAAATGTTTTAGTATTCTTACTCATAGTTTTGTTTTACATTATTTTATTGATAAATATACTAAACCTAAGGAATAACTTATCTTTGCAATCTCATCAATTTAAAAGCTACATTTGATTTAATTAATAGGAGGAGTTTATGGGAAAAGCTTTTATCGATGGGCATTGGTTTAAGATATCTTGGCCTTTTGAGAACAATGCACTATAATAATTGGTCTAAGATCATGTTAGAGAGGGCAGGTCACTTTATATTCTCTCCCAACTAATAGAGGAGTCAGGTGAGGTTGCTTCCTGACACGGCTACTATTTCATTATTTTGGCTGATATTACTGACCTGAAGAAGCTATTTCCAGTATTACTTGGACCCAGCAGATAATGGTCACTGACAATCACAGTGTAAACACAGAAAACAAGCCAGTTTCTTTGCATCTGGACCTCAATTTACTGTTAATTTTCCATTCTTGATTACACGATGAATCACACCTATTATGTCCATTGTATTGTGATCTAAAAAAAAAAGATAGGTAATTGTGGTAGAGTCATCAGAACAAGTAATGTTCTGGATGTAGGGAAGCTGTAGTCTCCCTCAGGTTTTGAAACAGCGAGACTTTGGCCAAATCATTTTATGCAGCGATTCTCAAATTTCTTTGCATGCTGTAGTCATGGGAGCATCTTAAAACAAATCAGAATGCTAACGACTGATTCCCGTTGCTAGAGTTTGATTCTTCTATAATTTATTTTTAGAAAATAAAATATCCAGCTATAATGTTGGTACATTTGTTTTCTGGTTTTTGTTGTTGTTGTTTGTTTTTTGCAAATATGTAGTAGCACACTTAATCTAAAATTGAAAAGCCAAGAATAAATATTTAACATACCATATAAGTTTTAATAATGAAATGCACTTCCATTTTTAAGTGATTTTGAAACTGTAGATAGACATTTTCCTTAAAGACATTTTGTGTCCTCATTTTCTTCTTTAATGCAGTCTGTATAATCTAATCTAAAAATGAATAGAATCAAATCTAATCCTAAATGTGATGTTTTTAGAGGATATAGACTTCTGATTCCTTTACCTTTTCAGTTAAAAATATACTTGGAAGTGAAGATATAAACATGTTTTTTTTTCAAATCATTACTTATTATTTTAAATTATTTTAAATTATGTGAATAAGGGGCCAAATCTAGAGATTATATTAGATCCGGAAAATGGAAAAGAACAGAGGGAAACTGGCATATAAATTTTCCATATCTAACTTAATTTCTCATGCCTTCGTATCTCGGCATGTGAAGCCATATTTGTCATTCTTCCCTTGATATTTCTGGCTGTACCATTTTGCCTCCCTGTATCTAGCTATGAGAATTTGCACAGGACATGCATCTCAATCTGTCATTTTGTGGCTCCAAATTCTCTTTAATTCCTACTGAATTTGCAAAAATCATTAAAATTGATCGAAAAAGTTTGGTCAAGAATCATATTTTCACAGTTTATACCAAGAAAATTAAGTTAAAGTTGAAGATAAAGCATATAGGATTGAATTTGCATCATACGCTATTGGACTCCCATCTCCAATGTAGAAGAAAGAGCTGAACATAGACACATTCCATGTTCACCTCATAGAGAAATTAAGACCCTCTGGAGATGAAAATGTTTTTGCGGAAAAGCCTCTTGTCTATATCTTTTTGTCCCTTGCTTGTCTAGTAGCTTCATTGTATTGATTACTATCAAGCTATTTATTAAACTCCTGTTTCCACAATTGTAAATTTTTGAGACTCCAGAGTTTCAGTCTTATTTCTTCTTCAGTCCCCAAAATGATTCTCTCTTCAAAATCATAGGCTGCTTTTATGTTTAGAGTATTTCAGTGAAGTGTCCCACATATGTCAGTGCCAGGTACTATGTCACTCCTTTATCTATAGTCTTTAACAGAAAAATGTCATACTTTTATATCTTCTTGAGAATCTACCTATTTTTGATACAAATTTATTTTGTGCCACATGAACTCACTGATTTATCCCTTGACTTCACTTTGAATCCATTATTTTATTATTTTTTGTTTCATCGTTTTGTATATATATTTGCTTCCTACTTCATTTTAATCAGTGTATCCTTAGATTTCCCCTTCTTATGTTGCCCACTAACAACAATATACAAAACTCTTTGTCTATTGCTATTTGAGAATTTAGAGACTACATATTGTCTCAGAATATAAAGGGGCTTAAGGTTAAATTATCTAAATCTACATTATCTATCTATTCTAAAATTCTATATTTTATACTTTGATTCTAATGTCTTCACTTTTTTTAACTGTTCAATTCAATTAGCACTTATTAATTCTCTGCTAATTGATGACATTGCACTATGGGTTGAAAGCAAAGAACAATTAACCCTCAGGAACTTTACAGTCATGGCCCCAAATGTCAATATGCCACAAGCATCCATCAATTTAATTTGATTTAAAATTGGCTTTTGCTAGTTACTTGAATACACCAACAGTTAATGGTTCCCTTCAGTGAACTAAATGTGAATAGTTATTATCCTGTAAGTATTACTCCTGAGGTGAAAGAAAATGTGAGCTCTTATCATAGATACCCTCACCACCCTTGCCCACAACCTTCTGAAGACCTGACCCTTCACATATTTGAAAGATATTTTACCATCCTTTCTAGTAGATAAGAACTTAAATTTAATTACAGTAAGTCCAAAATTATAGCTTTTGGGAAAGAGTCACATACTAAATCCAGGTTTATAGATAACCATAAAATTGAAAAAGTTGGTACTTAGACCAAAGTTAGAACTGACTTTTAATACCAAGTTATTGAGCAGCCCATTTAGATTAAGGGGAAAAGCAAAACATTTCACTCATGGATTGCTATCTCCTTTTGAAGGTTGGCAGCTTATTATTATTTTTTTGGTCTGTTTTTTTGAAAGCTGTTATAAAATAACTTCATTATAAAATGTGTTAACATGTGTAGCTGGCCAAGATAATAAAAATTCTTAAATGCAACTCAGAGTCAGTTTTCAAATGCACTATCCTAATCTAATATATAGGATTTAAATAACATAAGTAAAATGTGGTCAGCTAAAATTTCTATTGTTTTCCATCATGTGAAATGTGCACATCGCAATAATGCCTATTTTGTTCTTATTTATGTTATTGCAATTTTGTTTTGAATAGGCTTTATTTCTGAGGTGTGAATTCTTTCACTTTCACATGGATATTAATATTCTGTGGGAAACAAACAAGTAGGCAAATCTTAAAACACACTACAGTGAACTAAAATTCTGTAGGATAAATCATTTTCCAGAAGAGAAAATAAGGGGGAATATTGAACTTTCCATCAAATAGCTCATTTAAAAATGTTCTATCTTCTGGACCTAGTCTCTTTGAAAACTGCATCTTCTTTTCATTGTTCTTCTACTTTTCTTTCTATTGTCACTTTTTTCGCCTTCATCTAAATCATCATCATAGTCAACACGAATTGTGCTACTTATCATGTGCTGGACACTGTTCTCAATTATTTCATGTATAATCTGATTTACCATTCGTATCTCCACAAGGTAGATACTATTATTACTTTCCTTTGCACAGATTGGAAAAGTGAAATATGTAGAGATTTACAGTTTTTCTTCCCATATCTCTATTTCCCGAAAGCCCTTGTCATCTTAGAATAGATGAATTTTGCTCAAGCTTTTCTTGAACACAAAAATTAACTTAGAATTTGAAATGCAAAGTTGTTAATAGGATATGAACACAATTTATGCAACCCTCCCTCCTTACTATTCAAGTATGAATCTGGTCCTCATCTGAGGAAGTTCAAGAACTCAGTATTTCAGAAAATGATCAGACCAGACCCTCTCTGGCATAAAAATTCGTTCATGCTAATCAAATATATAAAAAATATCTCTGATACATCGAAGTGTCAATGTATTTATTTTCAATGAGAAATTTAATTTCCTGAGGTACAGTGATATTTGCACAGACTAAAGATGAGGGCTAGGCTAGTCTCATCCTTGTATAGCAAGGAAGGAGGGATGTATAAGTTATATTCGTATCTTATTAACACTAACACCCCTTTTCAGTCTCCCCCGAGACACATTCTAGGCACCCAGCTGCCCTTTTATTAAAGAATTTACTATTTATAATCTCCTCTGGCCCCAGCCTACTTTCCATGTCTATTCGCAGATTACTTAAAATACATCTATGCCATCATCCCAATTAACTAACACCCTCAAAGTTATATTTCTTTTTCCTTTGTCTCCTTTCTTCCTTACGTCTTTTTTCCCTTCAAGGTAAGACTTACTTTCTATTTTTCTGTAACTGCTGTAACATCCTTTGATTTCCACTCCTAATGTTATCACTCTGGTAAGAAACATCACTATGTCCTCCCTAGAAAGTTGTAATAGTCCCTGAATTAGAGTATCCAATAAATTGTCTCCTTTACCAGAAGATTCATTTTCTTAAAGTATAGCTCAAATAATATTATTCATTTTCACAGGGTCACCCATTGTCTACTGAATTAATGAATAAAATTTTTTTAAAAACCATACTTGAACATTGAAGAACATTCAATACTTCACTAATCTCCTTAATATATCCCTCATGGCTCTCTTAAATAACTCTACACTTTTTTTAAATTTTCTCATTCCTATCTTTTTCCTAGAATAATTTCCCTTCCAATCTCTTGCCTACTAAAATTTCTATCACTCTACAAGGCTATTTATTTTTACTTATTTATTTTTATTCTATTTTGGAGAGAGAGAGAGAGAGAGAGAGCGTGCAAGCAGGGAAGAGGGGCACAAGGAGACAGGCTCCATGCTCAGCAAGGAGCCCAATGCAGGGCTCAATCCCACAACCCTGGAATCATGATCTAAGCCAAAATCAAGAGTCGGTTGCTCAAATGACTGAGCCATCCAGGCATCCATAGAAGGCCATTTAAACATCACCTCCTCAATACAGTCTTCCAGAGCTTCAGTACATAGATATCATTTATCCCTCTGACTTCTCAGAGGACTACATTTTTACTTTCCTCATAACACAATTATTCTTTCTTATGTTAGAAATACTTTATAATCATATGTTTCCAACAGCCCATTAGACCATAACTTCTAAAGATCAAAGACTATGTCTTACTCACTTTTGTTTACCTATAATATCAGCTTGTCCCATTAAAATTTTTTTTAATGTTTTTAATTTATTTTTGACAGAGAGAGAGAGACAGAGATAGAGCATGAGTGGGGGAGGGGCAGAGAGAGAGGGAGACACAGAATCCGAAGCAGGCTCCAGGCTCTGAGCTATCAGCACAGAGCCTGATGTGGGGCTTGAACCCACGAACTGCAAGATCATGACCTGAGCCAAAGTCAGATGCTCAACCAACTGAGCCACCCAGGTGCCCCATTTTAAATTATATAGATCAAAATGAAGCCTTTGGAACCCTTGCTTTTAGTTTTATTTCATCCTGAAACTTTGCTTCTCTGACATTTGCCCTCCAAAGATTTCTGTTTCAGCATAATTTCCCATTAAGTGAACAGTTTCAACTTGTATATGAAAAGTTGTAGGCAGTAGTTTGTATCCAGACAGGATTTAATTGTCTTCAATAATATTTGAGTCTAATAGAGTCATCTTTATTAGATGGTTGCTGTAAGAAATGCAGTTTAAATAGAAAATTAATGATTTATTTAATTATATACGGTTGAAGAGTATTATCAGTAATGGTTCTTCTCAGTTTTCCCTTGAAACACCCAATGTATCTCAATGTTCAAATAATTTCAAAATTAAATTTAGTTACCCTTTCATTCAGACACCATGGGCTCTTTGGAGTGGTTTTTGTTTATTGATTGTTTTGCTGGGTTTTGGAGTTTTTTTAAGGTGTTTAGTGTAATGGATGTCCTTTATAGTTCTCCAAGTTAGTATTTGGTAAGGGAACATTGCTGAGAAGACAGCATGTGTGAGGAATTGAGATGTGCCAGGTATGGCATTGGGCATTTAATGCTTATGGTTTATGCTCAGATATAGTGTAGTTTCATCAATGAACTCAGAAAAGCAGACTGGATATTTGGCATATTCCTTTCCAATCTGTTTCAGAGTATTTTATTTATGATATGGACAATCTTTGATTTTTTTTTTTTTGTTAAAGAGATGAAATCTTACTGTACACAAACAGAGGGAATTATAACATGTTGGCTAATTTAAAAAGATGTCAAACTAATAAGAGCACCCTTTATTACAAGCACATATGGAAAAAATCTTCTTGAAAATGTAATTTCTTACCGTTTTCTTAAACCAATGAGATATTTCCTCCTAAAAGAATCTTGATTATATGTGCTGAAACCCTTTAGGACTGCTTCTATATGATATACTTTATTAGGCTAAGTGTTTTCTCTTTATACCTACTAAAATAAAATTGGGGGCTTATATTATACTTTGTTTTCTCCACTTTTTGAAAAGGCAGTTTAAACAGTAAAGCCATGTCCAGTTTTGTTGATATTGTTTTTCAGCTTTCTTTTAACTTAATCAGACATAGAATTCATATGTTTCTCTCTCCGTCTCTCTCTCTCTCTCTCTCTCTCTCTCTCTCTCTCTCTCTCTCTCTTTATCCTTCTCTCTTTCTCTCTCTCTCTCTTTTTAGGTTTAGGTTTAGGACCTCAAATTAAAATTGTAAAGTACTGCTGGAAGTCAAGATAAGTTAGAAAATGACATTAAGTCTCATAGTATCTGGACACTTGCCTCTTTTTCTTGCTTTACTTGACTATAAGGTAAGCAGTGCACATTAATTTAGATAGATAGATAGATAGATAGATAGATAGATAGATAGATAGATATAGATGTAGATATAGTTATAGATATAGATATAGATATAGATAGTACTATAGTCCAGTGAAAAGACATGGGCCAGAAATCAAGAAACTGTCTCCACTTTTATCTCTGGCATAACTAGGTGTATGAGCTAACACACATCATTTCCTCCATGGTAAAATATGTACTCTAATTTACTTGCTTTAAATTTTTATGAGGTTAAACTAAGATATTGGATCCAAAACTATTTTGTTTTAAATAAGCCTGTGTACTGTGCAAATTCAGGTGGAGGTAGCAAGTTGTATTATAAAGTATAAGAGAAAAAAAAAGTAAATTAGTTGAGAAGGAGTAAATAGAACAAAAGCATCTCCAATAAATAATTATCTTCTCAATTAAGTTTGCAGTATGATATTTCTAAATAAATCTTACCTATACCTACTCTCTTTTGGAGGTCAGTGAATGAATACCGATTGCAGCATGTGATTACTGATGATGATACTGATGACGAATGGAGCATATAGTTGACACTCATGTAAGGGCTGGAATATCTAACAGGATGATGGAGACAAAGTAAATATTGTGAATATCTAGGAGGTCCTTCTAGTTCTGAAAACATACCCTAAAATTTTTGAAGTTTATTTTCTTTAAGCTCAGGCTCTTACAGAGCCTAGAAAAATATTATTAAAAATGTAAAGTCATAATAGCAAATAAAAAGATTATAAAAATTATGTTCAATGGAAAATTCCAAACAATATATAGCTATATTATAGTATGTATCTCAAGTTAATTTCCCTAATCTTTTAAAATATTTCTAAAACAAGGAGTGACTTCTTTTCATTCTTTTTTTAAAAATTTTTTAATGTTTATTTATTTTGAGAGAGACAGACAGACAGAGCACGAGCCAGGGAGGGGCAGAGAGAGAGGGAGACACAGAATCCGAAGCAGACTCCAGACTCTGAGCTGTCAGCACAGAGCTTTACATACATACTTTACATAATATCTAAAAATCATCTTTAAAAAATGAATTGCTGAGTTGTACTTGTTCTGTGGTATTTTACACTTGATCCCTTTGAAGCAGGGATCCCCAAGTCTCCTTTATATCCACATATTGCTAACGACTATTTTTTGGTGCTTTTCCAGATATTGCATGTACCTTTCAGTTTTAAATTTTATTTTGAAAATGTGTGTTTGCTCAAAAGGCCCCAAATAGCCAAAGTAATTTTGAAGAAGAAGACCAAAGCAGGAGGCATCACAATCCCAGACTTTAGCCTCTACTACAAAGCTGTCATCATCAAGACAGCATGGTATTGGCACAAAAACAGACACATAGACCAATGCAATAGAATAGAAACCCCAGAACTAGACCCACAAACGTATGGCCAACTCATCTTTGACAAAGCAGGAAAGAACATCCAATGGAAAAAAGACAGTCTCTTTAACAAATGGTGCTGGGAGAACTGGACAGCAACATGCAGAAGATTGAAACTAGACCACTTTCTCACACCATTCACAAAAATAAACTCAAAATGGATAAAGGACCTGAATGTGAGACAGGAAACCATCAAAACCTTAGAGGAGAAAGCAGGAAAAGACCTCTCTGACCTCAGCCGTAGCAATCTCTTACTCGACACATCCCCCAAGGCAAGGGAATTAAAAGCAAAAGTGAATTACTGGGACCTTATGAAGATAAAAAGCTTCTGCACAGCAAAGGAAACAACCAACAAAACTAAAAGGCAACCAACGGAATGGGAAAAGATATTTGCAAATGACATATCGGACAAAGGGCTAGTATCCAAAATCTATAAAGAGCTCACCAAACTCCACACCCGAAAAGCAAATAACCCAGTGAAGAAATGGGCAGAAAACATGAATAGACACTTCTCTAAAGAAGACATCCGGATGGCCAACAGGCACATGAAAAGATGTTCAGCGTCGCTCCTTATCAGGGAAATACAAATCAAAACCACACTCAGATATCACCTCACGCCAGTCAGAGTGGCCAAAATGAACAAATCAGGAGACTATAGATGCTGGAGAGGATGTGGAGAAACGGGAACCCTCTTGCACTGTTGGTGGGAATGCAAATTGGTGCAGCCGCTCTGGAAAGCAGTGTGGAGGTTCCTCAGAAAATTAAAAATAGACCTACCCTATGACCCAGCGATAGCACTGCTAGGAATTTATCCAAGGGACACAGGAGTACTGATGCATAGGGGCACTTGTACCCCAATGTTCATAGCAGCACTCTCAACAATAGCCAAATTATGGAAAGAGCCTAAATGTCCATCAACTGATGAATGGATAAAGAAATTGTGGTTTATATACACTATGGAATACTATGTGGCAATGAGAAAAAATGAAATATGGCCTTTTGTAGCAACGTGGATGGAACTGGAGAGTGTGATGCTAAGTGAAATAAGCCATACAGAGAAAGACAGATACCATATGGTTTCACTCTTATGTGGATCCTGAGAAACTTAACAGGAACCCATGGGGGAGGGGAAGGAAAAAAAAAAAAGAGGTTAGAGTGGGAGAGAGCCAAAGCATAAGAGACTGTTGAGAACTGAGAGCAAACTGAGGGTTGATGGGGGGTGGGAGGGAGGAGAGGGTGGGTGATGGGTATTGAGGAGGGCACCTTTTGGGATGAGCACTGGGTGTTGTATGGAAACCAATTTGACAATAAATTTCATATATAAATAAAAAAAAAGTATGTGTTTGCTAAATTATAGAATGTCTAAGGAGGCATTTAAATTCAAACTACTGTATTGGGATATTTGGAGCAAAATTATAATTGTATTTTTTATGCTGTCTTTTCCTTTGGCATCTCAGGAAAATCCATGTCTGATGCAGTCTACATACTGCAAGAAAGAATAGTATGTCTTCTCAGTAATTTATCACTTTCTGTATGATGGAAAGCCTCATTTTCTAAAAGAAATATCAGAAAAGTGAAGGAAAGCACTTTGTGCATTATTATATCATTTTATCTAGAACAAAAAGAATGGTTTAATACTTCCTGTAATTCCACTTTTTCCTTCTGCATACAAAGTAAGTAACACAAGTTCAAGATTAACAGATCCTAATTGAAATGCTAAAAGACAAATATACAGTGTAATTATCCAGTTTGAAGTTTAACATTTTTGAAGATATTTCAATGTGAAAAAATCTGTTCAGAGACTTCTTAACACATGTCATATTATAGAAAGAAATGAGCACTGATTTTTCTAGATATTTTCAGTGCCTAACAAAATATGGTATTTTATCTTGACATTGTAACCAAGCACCATATTTTTTAACAGATGCCATTTCTCTTCTGATTACTGTATCCCATTATGAATTACCTCAGTTGGGAAGAGGAGGGGGAAAGTTTTTCATCAAAAAATATATCTAGGCACCTGAAATACAGTATGTTCTGAAGATAATGTACACATACAATAATCCATCTTTGCCAAATTGAAAAATCATCAAACCTTTAGAGCAGAAATACTGAGGTCTTGGGAGACACCATAAAACCATTAGAGTGGTATATTTGTACTTAGAAATATAGTATTCTTCTACCCCAATAAAACCTTTTCTTATCTCCAAACAATAATGGCAGCAATGTAAATTGAATTATCTATAAAATATTGTTTTTATTATAGCATTGCTAAAAAGATTTTCCAGGCTACAACGTTGTTAGAAAGTGCTATTATGCCGTACGTACCAAGGCTTCTAATTAGACTTGTCAATCATTGATTGATTATCACTATAAGATGAAAGAGTAACTGCATCCCAACAATTATATTATCTTAAGGGTACAAAATGCAATGTTCTGCTCTCGGCTGTTAGCAAGATTTCACTGAGTGAAGGTCTGTTCTATCACCACAGGCTGTTCAAAGGCCCTTCTGAGAACCCAAATGGCACATTAAGCTCTAGAAATATTGCAGCTCAAAAGAAAATGCCTACTAGAGTGAAATTGACTAAATTTTAATTGATGAATAAGAAATCACATGGCATTCTAGTTTCACATTCTGTAATTTTAGAAAATATGGTCCATAGAAACATGCAAAATTTCCCTAAGTGTTTCCATACTTCATATGGTTCCCTTCTCATCCCTCCTCACTTCTCTCTCCCTGTTGACTCTGTTTTTCCACATGTAAATACTTCCACTTCTGTGAGGAGATACATGTGTTTCATATACTGAACTTTGCTTTTTGGCTTTTTAGAATTTTAAAATATGCAGTGGATATTTATATTTCTAAATATATTCTAACAACATAAATATTCTTTTTTCTCCTTTTCCTAAAGATGAAATATTGTCAAATCAATAATTATTTAATAATGACTCAAGATTAATTATTAAATATTGTTTTTCATCCCAAAATATACTCTTTGGGGATTATAAACTTTCTAGTAACATTGTTGTAGGTGTATCTTTCAAATTCCAAAGTCAAGTATATGGTTTAGGAGAAGTATGTGATTTAGGCTCCTATAAGTGCTGTAGTTGCAAATATTTGGGGGAAAAAACAAATAACTGATTTGAAATATGGAAGAGAGTCTTTAAGGTAGAGACTTATTTTGAACTTAATTTTTTTGTTTTTTATTGTATTATAGATATATTTTTATTATTATTATTATTATTATTATTATTATTATTATTATTATTTTAGAGAGAGAGAGTGGGGGAAAGGTGCAGAGGGAGAGAGAATGAGAATCCCAAGCAGGCTCCATGCTCAGCATGAAGCCTCATGTGGGGCTTGATCCCACAACCCTGAGATCATGACCTGAACTAAAATCAACAGTCAGACACTCAGTTGACTGAGCTACCCAAGCTCCCCTAACCTTTTTTGTTTTCAGCTTTTCCAATAAGGAATATTGGATGACATCCTAGTTACTACTGCTGTGAAACAAACCACTCAAAACTGGGAGTAGAAAATAACACTATTTTATTACACTTCAGGATTCTGTAAGCCAAGAAATAGGACAGAACACTGCTTCACAGTGTCGGGGCTTACCTGGGAATATTTGAACAGCAGGGGACTGGAATCATCTAGAGCTTTCTTCTCAGGCCTTTCTTATACCAGGGATAGGATGACTCAAAGGATAGGCATAACTGGATCTGTCAATTGGAACTCCTACAAGAAGCTTTCTATGTGGCTTGATATTCTCATAATATAATGGCTGGGTTCCAAGAAAGAATGTGATATGAATGAGCGTGAATGTGGAAGAAGCCACATGAGTTTTCATAAACTAATCCTAGTCACATAGGACCACTTCTGCTGGGCTCTGTTACTTGAAGCAAAGGCACACCTTACCCATAATCATGGCAAGGGGACATAAAATGACCTTTCATGGAAGGAGGCTGAAGTAATTTACCATGATTTTAAAAAGCCAACAAAATTTCATCCAGCCACAAATTATTTATATTTATCACATATGAAAAATAGAATCAGGCTTTGTCAAGACTTTCAAAATGCCTAAACTCTTTATGGGACTAGGTTCAAAATTGAGCCAAGATTCTGTCATCTAAATACAGTCCAGGTATGGATGATGCTCCTCAGTGTGATCCCTCTAGTATAGTCCTTGAGTTTAGTTTTTCTTGGTCTTAAAGCTGGTGAACTAAAGAAATGTGCTATCTTGTTTCACACACCCAAGTACAATAGTAAGGTAGGCATAGGGTAACTGCAAATGGCATTCCTACTCAGAGATGGACATGAGAAGGACAGGAAGTACACAGCAGTCACTGTCCCATAGCTTTTCTAAGATTCAGCCAGTAGGAGTTGCCAATTTCTAGATTACAGCCCAGTCCTATCTCCTGGCCCATGGTTATGGAATTCTCCATGACTATGAGCTCCCTCCGGGTTCTTGTTCTGTCCTCTGTCCTGTGAAAGGCAACCCATACGTGCACCTGTGCAGCTGTTTCAACCTAAGTCCTGCCTGGAAAAATAGGGGAAGAGGGGTTCAGAGCCTTTTTTTTTCCCCTGTCTCTGTCTCTTTCCATCTAAGCTGCTCTAATTTTTTTTAATTTTATATGGTTTTTTTCTTGTGTGCTGATTTATCATTTACTGCATTAGACAAAAGCCACACCTACTAATTTTTCTTTCTTGTGCTCCCTGTAAAGGTGCTATGACAAAAATCCCTATGAGTCTTAGAACCCTTGGTGTTCAACAAAACAAGCCTAAGAGAGACTTTTTATACACTGCAAGTGTTTATGCTGCACACCTTAAATCTTTCAGAAGTGTTACAAAGTATGTTATAGTCATCCATTGCTTAATTTTTAGCCTGAAACCATATTTTGCTGATGGTATCCTGGATTTGCCTTGAGGCCTTTCAGTACTTGGAAATACTCAGCTGGTGGTAGTGGGTGTGGTAGCCATAAAAACATGCCACTCAGATGTCTTGCCAGGTGAAGCTCATTGACAGATAATCCCAGCTGTGACACACAGAATCTACTATGTAAGTAATATGGCCATGTTTCCCATGGGCTGTTCTCAGTGACTAAGTGTGGCAAGGGTACTAAATTAAGCATATTCCTGTAAGAGGAAATACTCTCCTAATGGGGGACTTTGGCTTGACGACCCCTTATCTGCCCAGCAGAAATTTCTTAGGACTGCACTATAGTTGGGTACTCTGCCTCTCCAATACTTTTTCTCTCTCTCCTTCACAGTGGACAGACCTGCATCACAATCAGATGTTTTTTTGTTTTTTTTTTTCCCATCTCCTATGGCTTCCCCACTCTTTCCCCTCACAGTATTTACTTGAGTAAATCTCTTGCATATTTAATCCCTTCTTTCTGTCTGTTTCTTAGAATAACTTACACACATAATACTGAAAGTAAGAATTTCACAGTGGAGGCCAGGTAGAAAACTCTGAAACTACCCCCAACTCCTGACCTTTACGAGAGTAAATAAAAAACAGTATCATATCCTGGAATGAATAGAGTTTAAAACTAAAGACCAGGGGCGCCTGGGTGGCGCAGTCGGTTAAGCGTCCGACTTCAGCCAGGTCACGGTCTCGCGGTCCGGGAGTTCGAGCCCCGCGTCAGGCTCTGGGCTGATGGCTCGGAGCCTGGAGCCTGTTTCCGATTCTGTGTCTCCCTCTCTCTCTGCCCCTCCCCCTTTCATGCTCTGTCTCTCTCTGTCGCAAAAATAAATAAATGTTGAAAAAAAAAATGTAAAAAAAAAAAAAAAAAACTAAAGACCAAAAGAATGCAAGGGTGATGGTCTTATTATATATAACCTCCATTTAATTCACCAGTATGACCACTCCAAAAACTTGGTGGATTCTGAATAATGACTGTAGACTACTGAAGGCTTAACCAAGGACAGCTGCTGCACCAGATGTGATATCATTGCATCAACAAATTAGCAAGAGTTCAGGTACTCTGCATGTGACCACTAATTTGACAACTGTATTAGTTTCAGATTAGAAAAGGCTATCAAACAGTTTGCATTCATGTCAGTTAGATAACAACATTCATTTACAGTTCGCCTCAGGACTGTGTTAATATTCTTACTTTATGCCATACTATAGTCCGAAGATAATACTTATGCCTAGACATCCCAAAGAATATTACACAGATCATTACATTGATTATGCCATACTGGTGGACAAAATGAGTAAGAGGTGGCTGGCAGCCTACAGGCCAGGTAAAGTCACATGAGCCTCAGAAGCTGAGACATAACAGCTACAGAATTCAGATACCTACCTCTTCAGTGAAATTTTGTCCTCAGAGACATGCCAGGTATTTCCTTCAAAATAAAATATGCTTTCTTGCATCTTGTGTGCTCTACCACACAGCGTATGGTAATAAGCCCCTTAGAGTTCTGGAGACAACATCTATTACACTTAAGAATACTTCTTCACCCCATCTACAGAATAACATGGAAGACTAGCTTTTTGTGGGGCCTGCAAGCAAACATTTTTGTTACTTGTAGTGTGACCAGCTATCTCAGTGTTCCTGGCCTGGGACATGAGACTTTCAATGCTAAAACCAAGAAAGCCTTAGAGAAACCAATGTGGCTGGTCACCATAGTTGGAGTATAAAATCTGACAGACACTGGAGTGTTGGAGGCATCAGCAGTGGGAAAAATGTGGGATAAAGCTCATGGTAAGTCTGAGTGAAAGTATAAAATTTCAGACCCCTGGAAGTATGGGAAAAAGTGATGCCATTTCTGATAGAGAATTATACCCCATCTGAGAAGCAGTTCTTGTTGTATGTGTTACTTATTATGATAGAGATAAAATGCTTGACTTTGGAGCATAAATTGACTGTGAATTTGGAACTTCCTATTATGAGTTGGATTCTATTAGACTCACCAAGTCAGAGGTGGACAGATTCAGAAGCAGAATATCCAGGCTTGGAACAAAACACAAACAGAGGACATGAATAAGCTGCATGAGTGGGAAGTCCACATCCTCATGTCACCCTTCATATTTTCAATAGCACCTTGCTCCAGCTTTCACTATGGCTTCCGTATGGGGGATCTTGTAAGACTAACTGAAAAAGAAAAAAATCCCACTTTAGTTCATGAACAAGTTAGCTCAGTCACAGAATTTGGAGATTTTTATACCACATGTTAATGCTTACCACCATGGAAATGACAATGAAGAAACAAGACACCAAATGAGTTGGCCAGTTGACAACAGCCAACCTTCATTACCATGCACTCTAGAACTACAATGATGTAGTGCTCATGATGTGCTCATGATGGGAATTGTTATGGTAGCAAAGATAAAAACTACATATAGGATCAAAAACACCGATTCCCACTTACCAAGGTAATCTAGCGACTGCTGCCTTCGAACGTCTAATTTATCAGTGATAGAAATCAATGCCTAGTTGCCAATATGGCACTATTTCCTCATGGAGACAAACCATGCACTTGAAAGCAAATCAGCTGCATTAGGCCATTTTGATCCTGAAAAGGCCAATGGTTCATCATCATAGGTATATAGACTTATTATGAATATGGGTTTGCATTTCCTTCTAGAAAAGTGTGAGTTAACAACATTATTCAAATGCTTATGGGATGCCATACAAGGGAACATCTGGCCTGGGGACATACTTCATAGCAATAGAGATGCTAGAGTAGGCTTATGACCATAGGATCCACTGGCTTTGTCACATGGCACACTCTCCAGAATAGAAGGATAGGTAGAATGCAGAAGTAGTCTTCTAAAAACACAGTGAAAGCATAGAGTTAGAGCAAACACTTAAAAAGATGGGAGTGTACCATGGGGCATTTGACAACACTTGGGATATTTTATATCTAGAGACCAGTAGGTAAAAGAGTATTTCTAAGAATAATTGGGTTTTATTCAATAATTACTTTTTATAAGTTTATTTATTTATTTTGAGAGAGAGAGAGAGAGAGAGAGAGAGAGAGCACACACAAGCAGGGGAGGGGCAGAGAGAGAGGGACAGAGAGAACCCCCATAGAGCCCGACTTGGGGCTACAACCCACAAACCATGAGATCATGACCTTAGCCCAAACCAAGAGTCAGATATTTAACCAACTAAGCCACCCAGTCACTGCAATAATTACTTTTTACTCAATGAGGACATAGATATATGCGGAATGCAGGTGACGGACTTGGGTACTTCCTGGCCTTCCTTTGTTCCATCGCACTGTGAATGGGCATATGTAACCACCTGGATTTGATAAGGATAGGACTACCAAGGGTTCAACTTCTCAGAAATTAAGGTTTAGTCACTAGTGGTCCACCAAAGCAGCCAAGAAAATTCTGAGAGTGGGAGTTGTTTAGGATGGGTAGTGGAGAAGGGAGAGGACTCCTCTTGATGGCTCCAAGATAGGCTACTATGGTGGGAGCTATAGTTCATCTCCCCTTCTAAGTTTACTCTCAGGAAGAAGAGGTCCCAGGGAACCACAGAGAAGTGCTCCTGGAAAGTCTAGAGAAGTATACTGTGCAGTGTAAGCAGTGAACTGTGGTTGCTAAGAAAGTGCAAAACCCATATTTCCTGCTGCGGGGATTCTAATTGACAGATGACCGCCATCTGTTGGTACCAGAATTTTTGTACCACAATCTTAATTCGCAGCAACTTTGGCCTGGCTAAAATTTCTTAGAACTTCACTATAGTCTTAAGATTCTGCTTCTGCATATGCAGTCTTCTTTCCTTTCCTCTCTCCTTTATTTTTTTTATTTTTTTTTTTAAATTTTTTTTTCAACGTTTATTTATTTTTGGGACAGAGAGAGACAGAGCATGAACGGGGGAGGGGCAGAGAGAGAGGGAGACACAGAATCGGAAACAGGCTCCAGGCTCTGAGCCATCAGCCCAGAGCCCGACGCGGGGCTCGAACTCACGGACCGCGAGATCGTGACCTGGCTGAAGTCGGACGCTTAACCGACTGCGCCACCCAGGCGCCCCGTCCTCTCTCCTTTATAGGTGTCATGCCTGCATGACAGTCTACCACCTCTCCCTCCCTCCCTAGGCTCCCTTCTCTTTTTCCCTCACAGCTATTTCCACCACCACCACCCCTCCCCCACCATAAATCTATTGCAGTCTAATCTTATTTTGACATCTGCTTCTTGGAGGATCTGCACTGGGGGTGAGTTCTTATATTTTGAAACCAGAAAAATCCTGATTCTCATATTTTCTCTATGTTCTACCTGAAAAACTAAGTTAAGTTCTCTCTACTTCATCATTCTGTATTCTCATTTTATGATGCACAGTTTCAGAATATAATTGACTTTGAACATGTTGCCTAAAAATCTCCTTAGCTGGATCTCTCATGTCATTAGTTACTTTGTCTATTTTCCATATTACTGCAGGTGCCAGTTTTGCTTAATTCCTCATCAGTATGTAACAAGGAATCTGTTTTCCTCCAGGTTCTAATAACAGCTTCCTTACTTAATTTTAAGCCTTCCCAACAGCCTCCTCAAGGCCTATTCAAGCGTCTTCCATGACCCAGTTCCAAGGCTAACAACGTATGTTTTCAATGTTGGCTTTTGTGTTTTATTTTATTTTATTATTATTTTTATTTATTTTTTGAGAGAAAGAGAGTGCACGCGCGAGTGAACAAGGGACAGAGAGGGAGAGAAAGAGAGAGAGAATCCCACAAGGGACACAGAGAGAAGGAGACAGAGATAATCTCAAAGCAGAGCTGAGCTCACTCGATATGATGAGGGGCTCAAGCTCAACGGGAATGGGGCTGGAGCTCACCCAGTACGGGGCTCAAACTCATGAACCTATGAGACCATGACCTGAGCTGAAGTCTCATGCTTAACCGACTGAGCCACCCAGGTGCCCCTTGGTTTATATCCTTGATTTTTGAGTTTTGTTTTGCATTTCTTTTTTGTTTTATGACTTCACCCCCACTTCAAAGTACCACATTCCATTTCAATTAGTATTGCTGTATAAGAACCCATTTCAAACTAAGGATATACAGCAAGTATTGTACTATGTTCATGCATTCACTCTTGCTTTTCCCTCATGTTCACAGTAAATCCAAACCCACTCAATATCAGAGAGAGTGCATAGACTTTACTGATCAATAGGAAAAGTGCCAACAAAAGAGCCCCATTTATTAAAATGTCCATAGATGATATTTATCAACTGATGACTATTTTGAAAATGTGTAACATTAATGAAAGAAAATGCGTGATGTTAACAACCTAGGGAAAATTTTCAGACTTACAAAAGTATTCATTAACCCTTCCTACACTTAAGATTCTTCTTTCTATCACTTGCTACTACTTCCCTTTCAGTACTGAAAAGCAAATGTCTTTAAAACTGGTTATCTACTATCCAGGGACATGTTTTTTCTCTACTAATGATCATACAGTATTTTCTGTTACGTTAACTCAAATCCAAAGTTTTCAAACTTCCCTTGTCTCTGCCTTGAAATTTGATTCTTAGCTTCCTCTTAACACCAGTCCTCTGTTTTAGAAAGTTCAGCCTTCCCTATATGCCTTCATAATGCCTAAGTGAAATGGATGTTGTCTTTCTTCTCCATCACTCTAAATCTCATGTTTGCTATGACAAATGGTTAAAAACCTAACTTTTCCCAAAAGATTTTCCTAACTCACTTTCTCACACAGATCTTTCTCTTTGAATTTCTAAGTCTCCATGATACATATGAAAGAGTATGTTTTCTAATTACACATCCTGTTAGTAAATGAGAATAAAACACACATACCTATTAATTTTAATTTATTTAAAATCTATTTCTGGATTAATAAATTAATTTTGTTTTCTTGGGCATTTTTGTACATTTGATTTTTTTTCCTCTAATTCATGGTGTTGATCTTCCTCAGAAGTTTGCTGGTCATTAGTTGTGTGCTTTAGTCTGGGGACAGAATTCTCCCATTTGTCTTCTGGGCTGCCTGATCTCCCTTGTGGGCTATAACATTCTATTTGGGTCCTTAGCTTATTGGTTGTGGTAAATTTCACTTGGATGCCTTTAAAAAATGTTGCACAAATTCAGTGCCTCTGAGCAGTCCTCTTTATTTTGGTCAAGGCTGTATGCTCATTGACCTGTTTCTATGTTTCTTTTCTTTTAATTTTTTTTAGATTGGAGATGGCAAGCAGTGATTTACAATGTTTGAACCATCTGCCATTTTGATAGAGAAATTGTCCACTGTATATACTTTTTTATCTCCCATATCACTGACAGGGATCATATTTGCATCATCTTGGCTTACACAGTAGCTAAAAGAGTATCTTAAATGTGGCAAATGTTCAATGAATGTTTTTTAGTATATGTGCTGCCGAAGCGAGCATTCAATGAATGTTTTTTGAATGATTTAATTAAACATCTTAGTTCTAATTCATGTTTTAATTCTGACACTATCTTGGGAATATAGTTTTAACCTGAAATGAAACCACAGTCCCTTTGGATGTAAAATATAAGAAAATATTCATAACCAGAGACAAATTTGGGAATTAGGTTTCACTTCAGAGAAAATTACAGTGTTAGATTCAATCTAAATTTCTATAGCATTTCAGCTTAGACTGGTTTTACTACTTTATGAAAAAAAAAAGATTTATAAACCAACTAATTTTTTTTTAAGTATTGTCCTGGATGCTGAGTTTATAGAAATAAACAAAATTCAAAAAAAAAATCCCGTCATCAAGGAGTACATTTGTGTTAGAGCACAGAGATGTTTTCAAGGAGGCAAGTATGGCTGGAACAGGAGTGCCAGCATAATACCAGATGGTGAGGACAGAGAGATCATGAAGGAAAGATTTTGCAGGAACTTTTAGGCCATTGTGAAGATTTTGGATTTTAATCTGAGCATATGGGGGGACCACAGGAAGGTTTTGATAGGGGAGTGGCATCATTTTATTTAAATTTTAGCAGAATCACCCTAGCTGCTATGTAGATGTCAGCCTGCTGAGTAGATATTATTCTGAAAGAGGTAAGAGTAAAAGCCTGAGATCCAGTTAGGGTGCCATTGTTGTTAAACAGGTAAGCAATGATGGGTGCTTGGTTTAGGAATAATAGTAATAAAAGAGGGAAGAAGTGGGCAGATTCT